GGTTCTTAGGACTGGTTTTAGGCATTCCAGGTAGGCAGAGGTGGAAAAAGGGCCATCAGATCAATGGGATCAGGTTCTTAGGACTGGTTTTAGGCATTTCAGGTAGCCCGAGGTGGAAAAAGGGCCATCAGATCAATGGGATCAGGTTCTTAGGACTGGTTTTAGGCATTCCAGGTAGCCCGAGGTGGAAAAAGGGCCATCAGATCAATGGGATCTGGTTCTTAGGACTGGTTTTAGGCAGCTCTGGTGGGGAGCAAAGTTCCAGGGCTGAGGGGTCCAAGAAAAGCCCGAGTTCTCTCCCTTGGGATCAGGCAGGGCCGGGTCCAGCTGGGCTTAGGAGGAGAATCTGGGCTTGGTTTTATCTCCTTTTGTGATGGGGTCTTGTCAGTTGGGAGGTTCCTGTGTCCCTTTTGGGGGTTCCTCTGTCCCCTTTGGGGGTTCCTGTGCCCGGTTTGGAGGTTCCTGTGTCCCCTTTGAAGGTTCCTCTGTCCCATTTTGAGGTTCCTGTGCCCGGTTTGGAGGTTCCAGTTTGGAGGTGCCAACTTTCGAGGTTCCTCTGTCCCTTTTGGGGGTTCCTCTGTCCCCTTTGGGGGTTCCTGTGTCCCTTTTGGGGGTTCCTCTGTCCACTTTGGAGGTTCCTGTGTCCCCTTTGGAGGTTCCTCTGTCCCCTTTGGGGGTTCCTGTCCCCCTTGGAGGTTCCTGTGTCCCCTTTGGAGGTTCCTGTGCCCAGTTTGGGGGTTCCTCTGTCCCCTTTGGAGGTTCCCGTGTCCCTTTTGGGGGTTCTTCTGTCCCCTTTGGGGGTTCCTGTGCCCAGTTTGGAGGTTCCAGTTTGGAGGTGCCCACTTTGGAGGTTCCTCTGTCCCCTTTGGAGGTTCCTGTGTCCCTTTTGTGGGTTCCTCTGTCCCCTTTGGAGGTTCCTGTGTCCCTTTTGTGGGTTCCTCTGTCCCCTTTGGAGGTTCCTCTGTCCCCGTTGGAGGTTTCTGTGTCCAGTTTGGAGGTTTCTGTGTCCAGTTTGGAAGTTCCTGTGTCCCTTTTGGGGGTTCCTGTGTCCCTTTTGGAGATTCTTCTGTCCCCTCTGGAGTTTCCTCTGTCCCCTTTTGATGTTCCTGTGTCCCTTTTGGAGATTCCTGTGTCCAGTTTGGAGGTTCCTGTGCCCAGTTTGGAGGTTCCTGTGTCCCTTTTGGGGGTTCCTGTGTCCCCTTTGGAGATTCCTGTGTCCAGTTTGGAGGTTCCTGTGTCCCCTTTGGAGGTTCCTGTGTCCCCTTTGGAGATTCCTGTGTCCAGTTTGGGGGTTCCTGTGCCCAGTTTGGAGGTTCCTCTGTCCCTTTTGGAGATTCCTGTGTCCCCTTTGGATGTTCCTGTGCCCAGTTTGGAGGTTCCAGTTAAGAGGTGCCCACTTTGGAGGTTCCTCTGTCCCCTTTGGGGGTTCCTGTGTCCCTTTTGGGGGTTCCTCTGTCCCCTTTGAAGGTTCCTGTGTCCCCGTTGAAGGTTCCTGTGCCCAGTTGGGGGGTTCCAGTTTGGAGGTGCCAACTTTGGAGGTTCCTGGGTCCCTTTGGATGTTCCTGTCCCCGTTGGAGGCTCCTGTGTCCCCTTTGGGGGTTCCTCTGTCCCCTTTGGGGGTTCCTCTGTCCCCTTTGGAGGTTCCTCTGTCCCCTTTGGAGGTTCCTGTGCCCGGTTTGGGGGTTCCAGTTGGGAGGTGCCACTTTTGAGGTTCCTGTGTCCCTTTGGAGGTTCCTGTGTCCCCTTTGGAGATTCCTGTGTCCCTTTTGGGGGTTCCTCTCTCCCCTTTGGAGATTCCTGTGTCCCCTTTGGATGTTCCTGTGTCCAGTTTGGAGGTTTCAGTTGGGAGGTGCCACTTTTGAGGTTCCTGTGCCCCTTTGGAGGTTCCTGTGTCCCTTTTGGGGTTCCTGTGTCCCCTTTGGAGGTTCCTCTGTCCCCTTTGGGGGTTCCTGTGCCCAGTTTGGAGGTTCCTGTGTCCCTTTGGAGGTTCCTCTGTCCCTTTTGGAGGTTCCTGTGTCCCCTTTGGAGGTTCCTCTGTCCCCTTTGGAGGTTCCTCTGTCCCCTTTGGAGGTTCCTGTGTCCCTTTTGGGGGTTCCTCTGTCCCCTTTGGAGGTTCCTGTGCCCAGTTTGGAGGTTCCTCTGTCCCTTTGGAGGTTCCTCTGTCCCCGTTGGAGGTTTCTGTGTCCAGTTTGGAGATTTCTGTGCCCAGTTTGGAAGTTCCCGTGTCCCTTTTGGAG